AGATCATCGATCCTGGGCAGAGGATATTTATTTTTAACAGTGAGCTTGTTCAGTTTTCTATAATCAATACAGAGTCTCAATGTCCCATCTTTCTTCTTGACAAAGAGAACTAGAGCTCCCCGCGGTGATACACTAGGTCGAATAAATCCCCTGTCCAACAACTCCTGAAGTTGAACTTTTAGTTCCTTAAGCTCCTTTGGGGCCATACGATAAGGAGCCATTGAAACCGGGGTGGAACCAGAATAGACTTCAATCACAAACTAGACTTCTCTATCTGGAGGTAATCAGGCAACTCCTCGGGAAAAACATCGGGAAATTCCTTGACAATTCGGATGCCTTCAATATCGGATTGTGATCTCCTAGTGTCCAAAATATAAGCAAGAAACGCCTCGAAACCCTTCCTGATCATCTTCTCCGCTACCAAGGCAGACACAACATTCGTCAGAAATCCACGTCGTTCCCCGATCATTACAATCTTTCGATTATCTGGGGTCTTCAGAACAGTTCTTTTAGTCTCAAAATCAATATTTACTCGATGTTTGTCCAACCAATCTACGCCGAGAATCAAATCGAACTCTTCAAAGGGTAACTCTATCAGGTCAGTCAGAAAAATCTCCCCATTGATCTCTATAGGGCACTCTCTAAAAATACGATCCAACACGATGGATATGCCTAAGGGACTTTAAACTATCACTAACGCTCAGTATTCTCAACAGGAATATTTAGACCCTCAGAAACGGAATGTGATACATAGGAATTTGTAGAGCCACTATCAAACAATGCAAAGTATGGGACTGAATGAATAGTAACAGTACCTACAATCACATTAGGCCCATCACGATCTTGTCGAAGTCTAGCAGTGTAAAGCAATGCAGGTTGTCTGGCCTTAGATCTGACTGGACCCCTACTCTGAGATGCTCGGCCTCTACTAGCTAATCCAGGTGCTCTCTCCTGAGTACGACCACCCGCAGGAGTTTGAACAGTACTCTGAGTACGAGAGGGAGTACGAGCTGGTGTCTGAACTGAATGAGTTATCTCCGGACAATCCTTTACAATATGGTCACTTGAACCACATCTGAAACATGTACCCAATTTTTTCTTGTATTCCCCATAATGAGGTTTCCCACAATAATTACATGACTGCAAAGATTGCGACCCAGAAGATCCACCATGTCTAGAAGATTGAACAGCTGAAGAACCAGATGCAACAGGTCTGACACTCTTACCACCTCTTTGAAAGGACTCACCCCTGCCTCTCTTACTAGGGTGTGCTGAAGAATAAACAGAACCAGAAGGCCTCCTGAATCGGGTTTGAGCTCGATCACTCTCTCCTGTGCTCCATACCCAGTCGCTCTATTTCCTCAGCAATCTTGGCTATCTCAACCAAAGCATCAAAATTCCTCTCTCGATGGGTAGTGACTCGACTTCTGATCTCATACCTGAGTCCATTCTCGAACCTCAAGAATCGATCTGTCTCAGTGTCCACAAGTCCAGGAGCATATCGGCTCAATCAGATGAACTCAACCTCGTAATCCATAACAGACATATTACCCTGCTCCAGATTCTGAAACTCCTGGCGTCGCTCCTGCAGATATCTCTCTCCGATGTAGCGACTCCGAAAGCGCGTCTTGAAAAGATCCCATGTTAATTGGTTCCTCGGAATACTACAGAAATGGATTGCCACCATTTGAAGCTTTCTTTCTTCAACATAGTTAGGGCCCCATTCAACTTCTGCTCAGGTCTGAGGTCCATTTCATCCATAATCCTCTCTGTGTCTCCAGCCAATACTCAGCGTCTGTCGGAGGTCCACCAATAATACCCTCGAATGGAATTACACCAGCAGCGACCAAAGAATTTGAAATCTCCACTGCAGTCATGTTACTAGGGGCTCTAGCAGCTCTCTGAAATATACGGAAGATAGCTCTATTAATGGCATCTTCATTCATCTCAGTATCCTCATCCTCAGTGACGGGAGGGTCTCTCACGGGAGTAAACTGATCATCATGAGAAAGAGTCGGATCTACTTGCGGAATAGGAGGATCACGTGGTGATATCGGATCGTCTATCGTAACAGAAGGTCGAGTGACTCACCCTCTACCACGTCCACGTCCTGTCCTACGACCTCTAACAGCATTCATCGTTGGATCTATAAGGCTCTACAGAAAGAATTTGAAACATATGTCAGATTAGCATCAGGGACCTCGAGAAAACTATAAATCATAACATAAGGTGACATTTTTTTTATTTCTTAAAAATTCAAAGTTTAGGACCCATATACAGTCCGAGTGATTAAAACCGAAAGCTCTGATACCACCAAATGTAACCCCTCAGACCCGGTCTGTAAGATAGACCCAAACCTAAGCGGGTCACATATCCCATTCAAAGGTTTTTTTATATAACTTATAGAACGTTAAATATAATATAGAACATAATATTAATAATACAGATATGTCCAAAACGATAATAAAATACATGTCACCAAACATAACCGAAAAACATATAGAAATATATGTTCGTACAAAATAAAGTAGTTGATTTCTCCTGATGCCAAATCTACTAGCTTACGGTCTGCTGTTATCTGAAAAATGTTAAAATTTACAGAATGAGCTAAAAAGCCCAGTGTGCTCCAAACAGTGTATAAAAACATACTAACGAAATATTTCAATAAAATTTGTTTATGCACATGTTTTGAAAACATGAACACTACCCCTATCCTTTCACAATCTGTTTGTGTAGGTTCCCTAGAACCATACACCCCGCACAACCAGTAACAGTAAGGCCCTGAGCACACAGCCGAGGATCCTGCAGTAATCTTCCTCCAACAATATTCCCCTCCAATGATAGAAATGAACATGAATGTATTCGTATAAAACAATGAATAATTCTTTAAAAACATAAGAATATTTCAAGCTTGAAAACCATAAACAGAAATACATAAATCAAAAATCAAATCAGTAATGTATGGTAATTCAGATGTTGGGTAATCAGTATTCAGAAAACGGAATAAATACCGTAACCAGAAATCATATCAGAAATATACAGTAAATCAGAAATCAGATACACAGTATTCAGATATTTATATACTTTAAAACAATAATATAACACTATCAGGAAACACACCTGTAACAGTCTGGGAAATCAGATAGGGAAGCCTATTACTGGGTCTGTCGATCACGTTCTGCTGCAGCGCTAGATCCTACGAATTGGAAAAATCCATATTGGAATCCTAATATAAATAATCTAAATATTATTTAAATAATATACGGAAACCTACGGGTAATTCTCGTAGTACGTGATTCAGGCTGATCTAACGAACGGATAACACCGGACCTAATTGATCATTGCTCAGGTGAAACATGAGTACCTTTATAAAATATTTTTATTGAATAAATCCTTGACCGAATCTAATTTAAATAATCAAAATATTAAAATATTAAGCCTTTTGGGTTTACAAGCTCGATTCGGGAATTTCGGGTCTGAATTTGGCAAAACGGACTTCGGAATTATATTCAGGACGTCGAAAAACATAAAGAATGACCTTCCAAAATTTCGAATTCTCGGTCAAAATTAAAGTCAACTGGTTTGACTGACGATTTAGAGACTTTCGGGTTTGAATTTAGCAAAACGGACCTCCAAAACGGATTCGGACGTCGAAAACTGTCAGGATAGGTATTTTCGAAAAAGATTAACGGTCGTTTAATAGCCGGTCAAAGCCGGTCAAGTTAGTCAAAGGAGGTAACAAACTGTCAACATTTTACACAAATAGCACCCTTTTTAAAATAATTACCAAATAGTATCTTTTCGAATTAATTCCAAAATAGCACCAATAATATACCCTCGAAAAAATTACCAAAATAGCACCCATTTCGAATTAATTTCCAGAATAGCACCAAAACAAATTAATTCCCAGAATAACACCGGTCAACGGTCGGGTCAACGGGTAGGGTCGGGCCAACGGGTCGGATCGGGTCATGACCGGTCAAAATCGATTAAACCGGTTTCCAGATTTCACTCGCCTGCGGCGGCGTGTGTGGCGCGTGCGACGTCCTCCGGGGCTATAAAAATCACGGAAAAATTTCTAAAAATTATTTTGAGCGATTTGAGATACTTACAAAATCGGTTCAAATTTTTGAACGGCGGAGAGCTCGATTTCGACTCAGCCAATCTTTGACTGATCCACCTCCCCACGCGCCACCGTCTACGGAGACCGAGGATGACACCGGCGGACTCGAATGGCACAAGGAACACAATGTGCAGGAGGTGTCGTAAAAGGAGCACGATCGGCGATGAATTTAGGATTTTCTAGGCGATTGAGCTAAAAAAAACGTCGATACTTTAACTTGAAATTCACAACGTTTGGCAGTGTTTTGCTTCAATTAAATTGAGGGGATTGTTCCTGACTCGATAACGAACACGATGATGCTTTTAAAACGGCGATCGGAATTCGGACGGCGTCGAGATCGTTGTCGGAAGTTGAGGTTGGGAGAGGGAAATTTGGGAGGAATTGATTTTGATTTTCAGAAACCAATTCACGTATATAACAACCAATACCTAACCTTTTAGGGTAAATTCAAGGCTTGGTCCCTAAATTTTCCTTTAACTCTAAAACAAGCTACAAGTTTAAAGAACTTTAAAATTTGTCCCCAAATTTCACCAATTTTCATAATTAATCTCAAATTTCAATTAAACATTATTTTGTAATTTTTGGGTGGTTACACAACTCATGATTGTTCCTAAATACTACTACTCGAACTCAAAATTGTATAGATAAATTTGGGGACCAATATATAATGAGGGTCATAAATTGGAGCATTCAAAAGTTTGATAACTAATTTAGAATGAGTGTCACAGTTTAGGGATAAAAGTAAAATTCTTAAGAGTTTAGATACCAATTTAGAATAAGGGTTATAATTTAGGGACGTATAGTGTAATTAACTAAATAAAAAAACTTAAATCCCCCGCCCAAACAGTATCCATCTCAAATTCAAATTTTCAGTTCATCAAATCCATTTCTTCATTTGGATACTTATCGAAAGGGGGGGAAACCCTAAAGGCTTGAATTGTTGCAAATTAATCAGATAATATTCTCTTGTTTCTAATTGGTGCTAATGGCGTCCTCTGATTCAACTCCTTCCGCTACCATCTCTGCTCCTCTGTCTCTTGTACTGTCTTCGTTTTATTTATTTTTTATTGATTTTTGTAGTCATAAAATCTTGGAAATCTTCTTTGTTAATCAAGTTTTTGTTTACCCATTTGGCAGAAGAAGGAGAACATCACTCAAGCGGGTTCAAAAATTGCAGTAAGTTATGAAATTTCTCCATTTTTTTCATCTTTGTTTCAATATTCAGTAATTGTTTATTTCTTTCTTTTCAAAGGAAAAAAGTTTGATTCGATTCATTTAGGTTTTCTTTTGGTTGAATTTTAGGAATTGAACGAATCGAGGGCTGAGCTGCTCAGTAGAATTCAAGGGCTGAAACAGGTATTTATGGGTTGTCTTTACATTTTTCACTATTTTTTGGTTTATAATATTTGAATTCTGAGTAGAAAAGAGCTTTTTCTTATCATTTTCCCAACAGGATCTGCAAAATTGGAGATCAAAACTGGACACCCAAGTTAAAGTTTACCGCGATGTAAGTTTGCTTTGGCTTTATTCACAACTTTTTCATGGATTTTTTTACATTGTTTTTGTGTTCATTCATGCTGGGATTATATCATAGACTGATAGAAAATGATTGAAAAATCTGTGAGATTGTGTGGTTCATTTCGAGCTAAGTAGTTATTCAACAGTTGAATTCGATGTATCTTTTATTATGAAATGAAGTTGAAGGTATTTTACAGTGTTATACTTCTTGTTTCCTGAGAATGTAATATGAAGTCAGGGGAAAATCTAGCTTCATATCTATGTTATTCGGACTTCTCATTCTTCTAAGTACTCATGTCGGAGCATTCGGTTCCAACGCGTGTTTAGATATGAGTATGGAGATGTATGGAAAAATTCGAAAAATCGAGTAAACCTGATTGGATACATACTTGTATTCTATACTTACCTCGAGTCTTGATGATATATCTTCAAACCCTGGGTTTTAAATCATCATCCCTTGTGTTTTATGTACACGGCCGCAATCAAACTAAGAAATGAAGTTGAGTTTACTTTATAATATAGTAAGTGACTAAGTGTTGTTTCAAAATATTGATGGAAAAACATATTTTGGACAAAAAACACTTGCAATTCAGCCATAAATGTCGTCTTATTGCTGTTTTTAGATATTTCTTAGGCTGATTTGCATGCCTACTGCAGGAGCTGACAGACCTGAAGAAAACACTTAATGTTGAAGTGGAGCAACTCCGCACAGTAAGTGCTTCCTTATGTTAATGTCCGATATATTTGATTGCGTATTTGCTTCTACTGTAAAAAAAATTATGAACGAGAAGAATAAGTTACATAAAACGTTTCATTCTTAAGGAATTTCAAGAACTGAGGAGCACCCTCCATCAACAACATGAAGACGTCACTGCTAGCTTGAGAAATTTGGGGGTAAGCTACCAAAAACCCTTTGCTTTGTTCCTTATGTTGCTCGGATTCGGGTGTGAGTGTTAGGCATAGTTGATTAGATATACATTCATATCCATGTACTCATGTCTAGATACGCAACGACTCATACACGAAATGAAAAAAATGAAGGGTCGGAATATCATATTTATTCTAGTTTAGTTTTATCGGTCTATGTTTTCGGGGAAGTAGTATGTCGTGCCTAGGTTGAGTCCTTTGGAATTTTTTGCAGCTGCAGGATGTCTCCAAAGGTGTTAAAGATGCTGAAGAAGCCAAGTTTGAAGGAAAGGATGAGGAAGTGCAAACTCCACCACCCATGAAGGAAAATGGCAAGGAAGTGGAGAACTAGATTGGTTATTATAGAAATGACCATATTTTGTTTTCCACCATGCTTAAGTTGTAACAAGTTACATTTCGAATTCGAAGCTTGAAGTTTCGTTCAAGTTAATTCGAGTCCTGGTTGGGATAAAAAATGAATGGTTGATGCTTGTTCAATTTGGTTTGATTGAAGTCATACATTATATAAGAACTAAGCTCAAGTAAAAATATGCTGAACTTTTATACTCTTTGTAAATGCACTCAATTCAAGTTCAAATTTGGTTTTTGAATTATTCGAGTCAAATATTAAAATATCCAAATTTAGCTCATTCGAGTTTGACTCGGTTTAAATGAGTCAATTTTGAATTCTTTTCTAATTGAACGTCAATAACTTATGACAATTTAAACGATACAAAATTTATTTTGCAACAAACTAAGATGAAAATTTATCTGAATTAAAGCATATATACAATTGAAAACATATAGTGATTAAGGACTGCTAAATCTACCATTGCTATCTGCAATACAGGAAAAGTACATTAAGATTCACATACAGGTTGATGCCTTCGAAGTTCGATGATTCACTCCGAGGATAATCACGATACCCGTAACATCGTCATGGTATTTCCTCCTCCGACCAGCCGGAATGTTCAGCAATTCTTGCTTACTAAAACCTGTGATAGTAATGATAGTAGCATAAAGAAAGAGAATACTTGTAAGATGTGGATGATGAGAGGATAATTTATGTTCTTTGTTCAAATGTACCTGCAGAACAAGCTGCTTTTATTACGAGCTGTTCAATAGAAATTTAACAGGATCACCGGACGGGTTGCTCGAGATGTAAGCATGAAGAAGCTTTACAGCATCTTCATTAGTGAAGAAGTCAAATAAATCATCGCTGCCAACTATAATGAAGTGAGCGGATCTTGATATTTTGAGCACGTTTACAGATATATGGGGGACTAATGAGGTTACGAACTCGAAGAATTCCCATCAGTGCATCATTCAGTTTCTTCTGCAAGGAATAAAAGAGATGATTACATGTCGATATGTAGAGAAAGTCGATAAGGGGCGAATAAAGAGTGACAACTATAAGTCATGACATGAACAACCGGAACCGATACCGAAAGCACGAGTGACCTTCAATTTTCCTTTCACTTTTCCGGCTACCACAGGGTAGTGTCATCAGGATGCTCATTAAAGAGTAGTTCTTTCAACTTGATTATCAACAATGTGACTCTCAGTGAGCTGAATAGCATTCAATCCTTCGGACTGGTAGATGCTATTGCCTTCATCGAATGTTGCCAATACAGCTCGACTGTCACCTAGATTGGGTGTATAGAGATTGTTTCCATGGAGAAGCATAACCAATATACAAGATCCTACCGAAACTAAATCGGGCCGGTCTTCCATTTCCTGCTCTACCATGTGCAAGAAATCATTCTCGGCTTGAATTAGAGCTCTTCGGAGAATATCGAGCACCCGATGCCTAAATGAATGAGATGATGCTTCCATTTCAGGATCGGCGCTTTTCCTCGTGAAGCTTTCGGCAGTTGCAGCCTTAATACCAACCATACTATCATCAAGAGAACATTCAAATGGTGCTCTAGGAACATCCTGCTCCTAGTCTAGTAAATTAAAGTAAACATTATGGTTTCATATAATGTCCCGGCGAGAAAATCGGCAGCATCCGCCCGTTGAAGCCGTCATAGGTGGCACAAAAGAGTCATTCGTTCTCTTCGGAACAGACAGCTTGAACCCGATCTTCACCCGCAGCTCCACCCGCCACTTGAACTTCCACAGCATTAAGGAAACTGTCACTTCTAGTGGGAGAACTCATTGTTTGCCTTAAACAAGAATCATTTTCATGCAAGTCGACCGAACTTGGTGGACTGCAACTCAGGTTTGACATACTGCTTTGCAGGGAAGTCGATAGCATATCCAACCTCGAAAGAGACGCAGAAGAGGGAACCCTACGAAACATGTTCGGGGAATCCAAACTGGGAAGAATATCGGATCCTATCAGACCATTGAAGATATTTGTGTTGGCCAAGGTAGCATTAGCACTTAAGGCAGCACCGAACAAACACGAGAAACAAACGTTTCTCGGCGTCGTAGTTCCGGACTCGAGTCGAGTTGGTGCCTATTACCAGCCCCGCAAGGAAAACCTTGGCAACCGCTGCATTGATAGCCAAAACTCACCTTAATCTCCCTTTCGGAATCAGTACAATTTTCTCCTGGCATTGTAGGCTGAAACATACCATACATCTCCACCATGTAATTTTTGGTATCAACGAAGTTAAAAGCCTACAAACCAATACAAATTTCGGCAAATACATGATGAAATGTTAACAAGATAAGTCCACAAATCTAGTGTATTTCTCAAAAGGGTCCTCAAAAACTCAACAATCACGGTACCTTTTTTTTTTGCTAAAACTAACCTATTATAAATTCTTCTTGTGACCAACAAGACATTATGAATCTTAATCCTACAATAGATCAACAAGGTTAAGTCTTCATTTTGCAAGAATTCTAAATCCAACCAACACAATAGACACTAAAAAATGTAAGGACTAATTGGCAACAATCAACAAAACAAAAGGGTATAGGCAAAAACATGAACTTGGTAATAAAAAATCAAAGCTTTGCAGGGAAAAACAAATGGAACAGAGTAAAAAGAAGGAAAACCCACCTCAGTTTCAGTATCCAAAAGAGAGGAAGCATAAGATTTCGACTGTGAGTAAAATAAAAGAGAGCTTTTTTTATTGGGGAATCTCTGAAACAATGAGCAAAAGAAATGGATATCTGGGAAAGAAAAAGAGAGTGCTAAATTTGGAGGAATCTCATTTTGGTCCCTTTTATAGTCCTTCTACTGTAGTAAATATTGTTTTTGATCCCTATACTTTTTTAAATTATGGCTACATAGACAAGTGAAACAAAGAAACATGCTGTAGTGAACCGGTATCTTAAAAGTGAATTGGCTTCTATAAGTGTAATTGTTATAAAGGATGAATACTCCACGACATTAATAAACTCTCTGAGAATTTTTCCACTCGAAAATTGAAACAAACTTAAACGGTGTTGCACTTCTCAAAGAAAGACGAATACAAATAGAATAGAATTGAGTCAGACGAATAACGACGATTGCACGATGAATTTGTCACACCCGTTCAATAAAAAATACGTTAAACTACATCATTAATTAAGTCTAATTCTTATAATTAACATCCTTCTCCAACTGCTCTAAAAACTACATCATTTTGCTCGTTTTTGTGCAATGTACAAAGATATTTTTGCTCATTTTAAAAGTATAGGGATCAAAATGTAATTCATTCTATAATACATGGACTCGAAGAGTACTTTTACTCTCTTCTGTACAAAAAAGATTTGTCTGTTATTTGACGAGGTTCTGTGACTCTTGCCTCATTGGGAGAGACGGGGTTAAATTCTGCAATTTGTCACATCACGTCGACAATCTATTATTAATACTAAATTAGATATTTAATATATTAATTATTAGTTTTTATCTGTTTTAGTATCTAAATTTTTAAAAATTTTAACTTTATGCTTAAAGTTTAGTTTTTATTTCATTTTAGTACCTCATTCAAAATTTAACATTAAGTATTGAAAAAATTGAAAGTTTCGATACTAAAACAGACCAAAACTAATAGTTTAAGTATTAAACTCGTTAAATTTTTAACAATAGTGTATTAAAATGAAATAAAAGCTAAACATTATGCGTGATTTTGAAAAAATTGAAAGTTTAAGTGTTAAAATAAACCAAAACTGATAATTTATGTATTAAATGCATAGTTTACTCTTATTAATATGGTTTGTAGGGTTAAACTACATCAAAGGTCACTAACATTTTAATATGTTTACATTTTCATCTGATGTTTCAAAAATTATTATTGTAATCATTAACGTTATCGATTTATAACATGAATACCCTTATTTTCCAACATTGATTTGAAGCTATCCGTAAAGCAAAGCTTTAGCAACATCGTAACAAGAATATCACCATAGACACACACCATTAATGCATGCCTTTGTACAATTGATTGACCAAGATTGAGCATCTGATGTTTCGATGTCGTGAAGTTTTTTTCGAGTTCGAAATAAGCACCATATCATCTGAGAAAAGAAAAGTTTTATCATCATCGATAATATAATATTTGTTCAGAATATTTTATAAATTAACTGATAACGAAGACACATATGCCCTACAAACGTAGCTGTTCGAAAAAGTATAAATAATTAATAAAATAATAAAATTAATAAACTCTCAACATTTTGGGATAGTTACCTATGGAGATTTGGGACATGAACCGTGGGCAATTTAGGGTTTCTGGTGAATAATTTCGAGCTGGTTATGCATTGGTCAGATTCATCGCTATCGACACCTACCTCACAAATTATATAAATAAATAAAAGACATGCAAATATATATATATATATATATATATATATAAGGACTATAATATAAACTATACGTCTTGTTAGTTTTATAAAACATTTAACATTTTAATTAGGGTTAACAATACGATGATTACTTATATTTGTGTGTTGTCAACTTTAATCACTGATTTCAAAATACATAAGATATGATCACATTCATTTTTATTTAAGTAAGATTTGGTCATCACGGGTTTGCTGTCGTTAGACCACTAACGATTTGCTGAGCTGGCACCGAAGGGTAAACTACAGAGTTGGTCATTTACGTTATCGTTTTATAAAGATTTGGTCACTGAAACGTTAGTTGGCTTGAATTTGATGACGCGTCATGTTAATAAAAAGGTTTAATTTTTATTTTATCCATCAAACTTTAGATAAAATAAGAATATATTGGTTTATAACTTAATATTTAAGAGAATATATATTTGGTTGGTGTATCCAGGGACGGGGCCAGAATTAAATATTGACAAGGGCCGAAGTATTAGACTATTTAAGAAAAATATAAAGATTTATTAGGTATTTAAAATCGAAATTCAGCATGAACTAAGCGACCTTAGTGTTTAAATGATTGTTGTTATCCTTGAGGTCCCGAGTTTAAGCACATATGTAAGGGTATGAGAGTTCATTG